TTTTCCAAATTTAGGCTTTTAATCATTTGGTTTTATTACAAAACTCTGCAGTTTGAATATCGAGCACTTTCCAAAAACAGCAAACTGGAATGTGATCATTTTTTACAGTGCAGTAGTTTTGCTCTCACCTGTGTGAGCAGCTCATCGGACAGCGAGCCGACCTGATCCCAGGATCCCCGCTCGTACAGGTGAACTCTGGTTTCCACTGGAACAGCTAAAAGCTAACATCGAAATGTTTTTCAGACGATTTGTGCTTTTAATGCGCCCGCTCAGCGAACCCCGGCTGACCGACCTTCCCAGCTGCAGGCTGGAACGCCAAGCGGCACAGAGACGCCGCGTTGCTGACGTCGTTCGTTTTCTGCAGCAGCGGCCAGCTGGTCACCCGAGTCTGAGAGGAGAAAGGAAAATACGATTTCAAAAACAATAGGATAAAAACTGAACAAATGGGGTGCACAACTAAAATTAGACCTGTCAATAAACAATCAATCAATAACATGATAATTAAAGCATGATTTATTGTTTTTCTCATTTCTCTCTGGATGATAAAAGGTTTTCGGTCTGGTGTTTTGGTCTCAAATGAACCTTTTTTGAAGAACATTTTTGTTTCCAGAAACTCCATGATTAATTTTATTTGTTGTTTTGTTTCTTTATTCTGGATATTTAACATGTTTTCGATTTCCAGTGTTAAATGTTCATTAGAATTTAAAGTTTATTGATAAATGCAAATGCATTATTGTGCCATTACCACCAATTACTGGAAAATGATCTCAAAACAACAATATCATCGTTTATCTCAATAACTTCTGGGATAAATTAAAGCTAGATTTATTACCATGACAGGCGTAAGTCCAATTCAAAAGAATACAAACTGCCTCAAACCCCAGCAGATGTTCAGACTTTTTATTTTTAATCAGGGTAAAATTATTACAGACCAATTAAAATCTTAGAATTGAAAATGTTGGCACCAAGTATTCAATACCCAGACTCTGTTTTTAATGATTTTAGGAAACTTACTTTTCAACAAAATGACCTAAATCTCATTTTTATTGCTCAAATTATACAAAGAATGTTTCATTACTTTCAGCAGAAACATTTCCGTCTTTTAATGAGGCTCTACAATAATTTATACGTCAATGTATATTTTACTCTTTTACTTAAAGTATCCAACCTAGTTTATTGTTGAATAGCATAAAAAGTCACTGCTTTGTTTCTTTGTTATTTTTATTGGACTCCAAACCCCCGGTGTTTTTCCGACCCATGAAACAAAACGTTTGCTGAACCGGGCTGATGGGAATCAGACGTACCTGATCCTCGATGTTCCACACGACGACCGAGCCGTCGCAGCTGGAAGACGCCTGGCAGAGACCAGACGGCGCAAACAGATTAATAGTTTATCATCTTTACCCCTCAGACACACAAATTAGTTCAGAATATGGCTCTAGATGCATGTCGAAATAGATAAATTTTATTTAATTAAGTGAAATTACTTCCTAATTTGATCTCCAAAACATTTACGCTGCAAAAACACACGATTTTACCAAATATTTTTGTCTGTTTTCTAGTGTAAATATCTGAAAGCCCTTGAAATAAGACAAAAATAACTTACAAGTAATTCTTCAGCAGGATATAGAAGTTTGTTTTTAGTAAATAATTAATTAAAATGTATTTAAAAATGACTGGTTTCATTGGCAGATTGTTTCTCTTACAAAAAACATTTTAAAAGTCTTATTTCAGATCTACAATAACATAATAAAATACTGAAATAAAACTCTATAAAGTATCATTGTGATGATTAATCTGTAAGCATTGTAACATATTTATTGCACTTGGATTATTATTATTATTATTATTATTACTGGTAGTAATACTATAAAAACATATTTTAAAAAATAATTAGAAATTATTTTTACTATTTTTATTAATACATGTACTAAAATAAAACATTGCGAAAAAGTTTAATTATTTAATCTTATTATTCCTGGTAATATAAGAAAATGTTTTTAAAAATGATAAATTATTTGTACTATTATTATTGATAAATGTACTGAAATAAAAATCAGCAAATAAATTAAATCAACATTATAATTCTGAGTAATATTATAAAAAAACACTTGAAAAAATAATTATAATTTATTTGCACTATTTCTATTAATAAATATACTAAAATAAAATATAGCAAATAAATGAAATAATTATCATTAAAATAAGAAAACATGCAGCTAATGTCTGAGTAAAAATCTAATAGAGAAAATAGTTCTGTTTGTTTCTCACCAAGTATTCATCTTTAGGGTCAAAGGTCACACTGAGGACGGGCGCTTCGTGACCCCGCAGTGTTTTCTGCTGGCTGCTGTCTGACACCTCCACCACCTTCACCATGAAGTCACTGAGAAAAAAAAACAGGAGAATAATAAAAACTTCATGACGTCACAGTGAGACGAAACAGGAAAAATAATCCGGACTTCCTCCTCTGGCGGCGGCGAAGCCAGAATTTAAGGAATCGATAACACAACAGGCCTCATTAGCCAGAAAACAGCAACATTGATGCAGCTCCATGTCCTGAGCTTCTATTGTTGAGATCAAGCTGCTCAAAACGAATCAATTCATGCAGGAAACGCACATCCTGCTCCAATCACAGCCAATCAACCCGAAGAGGCGCGCTCTGTCTGCCAGGTGGGTTTCAGCTGCAGCAGAAACGTGAAATCAAATCACAGCAGAGCAGACAGACGGATTCACAAAGTGAAACCGACATGTGGAAAAACCTCTGGAGCATGAATATAACTCTGATTATGAGCTAAAAAAATATTCTGTGAAGGTTTCTCATGTCCATAAGATTAAATTCTCTTTATAAAAAGGGAAAACTCATTTTTATTTTTGAAATTTGATTAGGGGTGCAAGTTGTCAATGAATTAATTTAAAGATGGCTAATCTTAGCCATCACCATTTCTAACAACAATTTGAAGAATTTGAATGTATAGGAGTTACAATAGCATACAATAAAGGATTTTTGAATTTGAAACGATTAAAAAAAAAAAAAAAAAAAGAGTAATTGATAAGCTGCCATTTTGTTAAAACCTGAGTTTTCTGTTGTCAATATGGCCGATATTTCCATAACATATAGAGGCCATATAATTTAAATTTTACCACTATTTGTGTCAGCTGTACTAAATAGCGACTGAATACATGTGATTTTGTCACATCATTAAATATTAGAGGAACTTCTTATGTAGTTGAATATAAAAATAAAATATGTGAAACACTGACTTAATTCCTCAGAGATAATAATATAAACATATTACCTGCAGTTGTTCCTGTAGGAACAATAAAACTTCGCTAAATTAAGCGCTTGTGCGTGTGAGGACTGAGGCAAACGAAGATGACTGTGGCAAATGATACAAGTTTTACGTGTGTGGGGTCGGTTGGGCCCCATTTCTAAACACAAGAGTTAATTCACCACAGCCCTAAAAAATCATGTCTTTTTCCATTTTTCTGGGTAATTACAGTTTTCTGTCACCTCAGCCTCATCTTCGTAGCGCTTCAGTAACTTTTTAATCGAAAAGTTGGCGCTGTTTTGTCGTGTAGCTCAGCTGAATTAGCGCCATTAAGGTGAAAACTTAATAGCGAGTATTTATGTTTCAAAACAGAACAGCATAAAGTACATTTTTCATCCCATATCGGACTCGGGACCGTTTGTCTTTTTCGGTCCATCAAAGATGGCCGCCGTCTTTGATTTCTGTATCATCAGCTCCCAGGATGACCAGCGGCGCCCTCTGCTGGATGGCGGACAAACTACAACACTGAACGAAAATCTAAAACGGACATTAGTTAATACTTTTGATCTAATAAACGATTGTTTATTAGTAGTTTTGATGGTGTAATGAAACTAAATTTGGACTTCTGTGCCATAGTTCCAGAAAGTAAAAGATTATTATCCCCATAGAGTCAAATAAATTATGAAAATTTGGTCCCCAGTTGATAAATAAATGAAAAAATACTTCTTATCCAATACAACAAAAATAATTGGTATGCAATTTAAGCGAATGGAACTTCTTAAACCAGAACTCATATCAGTTTATTTCTAACACTAACTGGAGAAGTAGCCAGTTGTTTGGAAACAAAACATTCATAATAAAATTAGTCATTATCCCTTGGTCATTTCTGGTCTCAGTCACCTGGATCCGGCGGCGACTCTGGTCCCGCTGCGGTTGAAGGTGACGTGAGTGGCATTGGTGGTGAACCGCGTCAGGATGCCATCTGGATCGCCGTCGGGAAACGTGTGGATCTGCACCGTGTTGCTGGAGCTCGCCGTCACCAACTTGCCTTTCTGTGGGGAAACAAAGGACAAAAGTTTTCCACAATCACATACTCCGATTTATCAGTTTTGACAACAACCTGAAGGCTGCAATCTGATAGAAGAGGCGAACCTTGAGTGCGAGGGAGTAAGCCTTTTCCCCAACGGTGATGAACTTTGGATCGTCATCATCCAGGCTTTCCCAAATCCGAACATCGCCGTCGTTTCCACATGTTACAATATACCTGGAGAAAAGTTTTTAAATAAAAAAAGATCACATATTTTTCTTTATGACATTTTTGAATCTAACAGTTTGTGGATGAATTGCAGTATTAAAATTTGCTCAATTTTTAAACTTTTCCCCCATAAATAACCATTAAGTCTAACTTTTTTTTCTCTTTCCAATTCTTTTAATTTAATTCTGTCCTTAAATGACATTAAAGCTCTAAATTAAATGCATAATTTGTCATATTTTAAGCACACATTTCAATGTGTTTTTTATGGGATAGAAAAATGAAAAACCTTCCCCTTTTACTCTTACTGCCATAAATAAAATTCAAAACAGTTAGCTTTTATATACATGTATTAAAAAACTATGGTAACAGCCGTGCAGAAACACAGTGAAACTTATGTATGTAAAAGGGAAGGGCATGAAAACCTTTCCAAGGACAACAACACATGCAGGAAGTATTTTGGATTTTTTTAAATGTATTTTCTGAAATGTTACCATGCTACAGCCTTTCTGTTTGGTGCTAGAAATGAAGTTCTCTCTTAAAGAAAACAAATTTTGTAATTTAGCTCCCTGATAGCAAGGTTTGTTATTCCTCCCACCTTGAAATAAATTTTAAAAATTCTTAATTATTATTATTATTATTTTGTCATCAGTTCTTTTGGATTCCAAATGCTGGGATCCAAGAACAACCTACATTATCCATTTTAAATTTTCCGTTTGATTTTTTTTTTTTTTTTGCAGATTTGTGGACTGTGAGGGGATTTGACGGCGCACATGTCCAGCAGAAAACGAGTCCAGTATCTAAACTGGTCCAAGTCATAGTATTTGTGGTTTTAATTTGCTCGTATTTACAGAAAATGGGTAAACTTACCTCCCTGTGTCATCGAAGCAGACCTCAGTGTGTCCCTCCGAGTGGCCGTAGCGCATCGGCTTCCTTTCGCAGGGCATTTTAACAAACCAGACTGAACACACAAATAAAAGAAATGACTAAAATATAAACATAAATACGTTACACAACTGTAACAACTCTGTACAACACTATTATGCTAGCTGTCAATGCTATTTCTGAGTTCAGCTAACGTAGCGAAGCTAACGCTGAGTTTAAAATATATTTTTCACGGTTAAAACTTCTTTAAGCTGAACGGTGAGGTCCACAAACGGCAGATATTGAACTCAAAATACTTAAAGCTGTTATCCTGACAGCTTAAACAAGGTTTAAAACAGAAGTTAGCAAAAGCGCTCTCACCTACCTCCAATGGAACTCCCGCGCTGAATTAAAAACAAGGAAGCCTTGCGTCACAACTCCCGCCGGCTACGTAATGACGTAACAGCGTAAGACCCTCCCACCAAAGGGGAGGGTTTTCATTGATATTCTGGATTTTGATTTTCTAATTAGTTTTTTTAAAATAGGTTAATCAGATGTTTTTTGTAATCAGAATTTTGTTAATTTTATTGCTTTCTTTTCAGACTAACTTCCGGCGAAAACTTTTTATTATGTTATTAAACAGAAACTCAAACATTTTTAAAGTTGATTTAAACTCAATGAAACATTGAATTTAACTCCAGAGTTGATAAAAACGACATTTTTCTCAGAAATATATGAAACATTTATCTTTTTTAAATTATATTGACGTTGTTGTTTAATTTTCTATGTTTCTGTTATTAAACACATATTTATGATAGATAAATAAATCTTGATATGGGAATAAGAAATGTAGTTAATTTTCTGAAAATTAATACAGTTATTATATATTTAGAATTTAAGCATACAAAACAGAATATTTATTTATTTAGCTAGTGTGGTTTTAAGGACTGAATTTCAATCTTTCCAGTATTTCCAAACTTAAAGATGGCTCATAAAAATGCAAAAATAAAAATAAAGCACATGATTTTTGTGTTAACATTTCTATTTAAATATTACATTCTGCTAATTACATTTGTACATGAAAAACTTGATGGATTTTTTTTTTTACAAAATAAATCTTAAACCCTGCTTGTTGTCTGACTCCAACACAAAGTTTGATTGATAAATCAAAAATATAAAGAGTAAATTGTCATTTTTTCCACATGGATTACAAATCCATCATGAATCTGGAAATAAATATCAGTTTTGAAATGTGAAAAATTGATTCCGGATCATACAAGGTATCATTAATATTTCATGTAGCGGTTCTGGAAAATCAATACAAAAGGCTCCTCGGTGTCCAAGACCATGCTGGCCAAAAAAGAAAGACTTCTTCATTTCAGGATCATTTATTTATCTCATTACAACAAAGTACAACCTAAAACAGTAACGTTTTACGAGCTTTACTGTTTTCCCTTAAATATTTATTAGTTTCTGTAAACAATTAAGCGATTTCTACTTTCCTAATGCGTGTACATAATCTTAAAAAGATGAAAGAGTGACATCTAGTGGCATAAATATCTCTTTCAGGCATTATGCTGCCGTTTGGAAATTAATCTGGACCACCAAGTTTTTGAAAACCACACCGGGACTCCCCCTTGTCGATATTTTGTTACATTGTTTGGTCACGACAAAAAAAAAAAAAAAAAAAAAAAAAAAAAAAAAAAAAGAGATCTAAGATGGTGGAACGTAACACCGAACAGTTCCTAAATGAAGCTGAATATTGATATGTTGAGTGTTTCAGACAAGATTTGTTCGTAAGTATTGGTTAATGGTGAAAATAATAATTCTCTTTGTTTTGTGTTAAGGTGGTGTAAATAATTTACACATTTAAGTCATTTATGAAAATGTTTTTTTTATTATTATTATTTGATCTCACAATAAAGATGGCTAATTTAGTTCGTTAGCTAAAAGCATAAGAGCCATTAGCAGGATTATTGTTTCATGCATCCTAACTCTATTTCATATAGAAACTTTTTATTGGGTAAACTTTTTTATTGAATAAATTAAGAAATTTTAAAGGTATTAATTGTTTTGACTTTTGTGTAAAAAGACAGTATAAACAGCTTAAAGTCTGCCCTTAATACAGAGGAACATCCGACAAATCAATAGAGAATAAATAGTAGTTTTAGTGTTTTGATTTAATGGATTGAGGTTCTGCAAATATTTAGATAAACATCACACTAATTACCACTTCGTTATGTTTTTCCTAAAACACCTGTAAAAATTCAGAAGCACAGATACCTCAAAGTACACTAACAAAGTACTTTTATTTATTTTTTACCTTACAACTTTGGCAAAATATGATCACTTCTATGAGCTTTAGTAGTTTTATAAGAGGAAAAAAAATCAATGCTAATTTTTAGAAAATTGGTTAATTTTCTACCACTGACCATCTGAAGAGTGATTATAAGTTGAGTTAATTACTAATTGGTGCATCAGGTAAACTATCCAATCTTTATCCATAAATGGTGGAAATAGAGCACTCTTTTAAATAAAAAGGGACAAATAAAATCCCTTGAGGTCATTTTTCTACTTGACTCATGCATTCACAAAAAAACTGAATCCCATCAAAAAGCAAATCTTTCATGCCCTTATCTTTCAATTTGCTCTGCCATTTAGAGCCGTCCTTTGCAAAGGAGGGTGGAAAATGTGTTTCTTTGTTGTATTTTTGCAGCTAGGTGCTTCAAAGTAACATTTTCCATATCATTAGCTTGTCTAAAGATGACAGCAGAAACAAAAACAAAGCATGATTCAAGCTACTGAACCTAAAACGCTCCATAGATGAGAGAATCCTGAGAAACAATAACAGCACAGAGACGGTGGAAAGGATTTTTATTGGTTTGTTTATCAGTGAGGTGAATATGCTCAAAAATAAAACCGTTAATACTGTAAAAATACAACTGTGTGTAAACCAAAGCTGGTAAACATGTTACATGAGATTTAAGTTCTGGCGCCATCTTGTGGCCGAAAGGCAGAATTACATTTGATTTTATTCCTAAATTCTTCCCAAAAGAATCAGATGATCTACAAATGAACACCTTGTATTATTTTTGTTTAACAGTTAAATGCTAAAATAATGTTTTTGCACTATTTTTATGACAATCTGCTCAAGTAAAAATGGAGGAATGACGCCATTTTCTGTGGGCGATGGGAGGAAATCTGTTTGAGATGCAAACAGTTTTAGACTGACTGGGATCATGAATATTGGGCATCAAGATAATAAAAGCCTGCCATAGTCTAGAAAACAAACTATCCATGTGAAACAACCGCAACTTGTCCCTTACCTGGAGATATAACTGTCCAAATGATCAAAAATGCCCAACAATTACCTGTTGCGACAAGGGAAGTTTGAGCAGAAAGGAGTGATGAAAGGTGCAGTAGAATAAGGCATAAGGTGTGATTTTGGGGGAAATGTTACAACATTTAGGGTCGGGTACATTGTTATACTAAAGTATTCATTACCCCTGAACTTTTTAACACAGACACAAAGTAGAGAACAAGTGGAAAAAAGGATGCATGGTTTTCAAGATTGAAAATCTGAACCTTTTTGCTTTTAATTAGTTTCAAATCTTCCAAGTGTTTTCTTGAATGCAAAATATTTGGTACACAAAGTATTTTTCTTGTAGTAGCCCTTTTTTCCTCTTTATTTTAATGTGATATTAAGAAGGAGAAGCTAATGCTAGCGCTAATGTCAGTTCAAATTATATCAACCCTTAAAAGACTGCAACCGTCGGGTACTAATTTAATTTATGGATAATATTTTACATGTTATATAATGGCCATATTGTTTTTATACTTATATCTTGTTCTCTACTGTCCGTGTTTTGTTTTGTACTCATTTTAAATAATTATCCAGAGGGGAAAAAAGGGAAAGCACGTGAGACGAGAGAAACGGAGACAGTCTCCTCCCACTTCACAATAAGAGCATGAATAGAACTACATGAAAAAATCCCAACAGTCGATAAACAAAAACTTTAAAACAGTTGCTTAAATTTATTCAGCTGAAAGTTTACCAAACAAACAGGTAAATTGGGGTTTTGGAATTGATCCATAAAAAATAATTTGGGAGAAAGTAAGTGCGCTAAATGTTTTCAAAGTTCCCAAACTTAGCGAGTTTGACGAAAAATTAGCTCTGCTATTGTGACCACCATTGATGTTTAATATAAATTAGTGGTGGCCACCATGTTGAATACAAATAAACACTAGGGTTTTTAAAAGATATTTTTTGGTAGAAAAAAAAAGTTGAAAACCATGTAGCTTATTCTTTACACTTTATGATTAAACACTATTTTACATAAAATACATTATTATGAAGTCTGTAAAACAGTTAAGTTATGAATGCTTTTGCAATGTGCTTCAGTTTATTAAAGTGGCTATTTTGGTGCTTATACTTACAAAATCAATAATTTATTAGGTCAGCTGTACAGTAGCTTTTTCGTTAAATTATTATAGAGCCAATTTTGGTTTGAAATGGTAATAAAATTGTACCACAGAAAGGACTTAAATTGGGGATGCAAGTTATCGAATAATTAGTTAATCTGAAGTTGATTGACTAATCAATTGATAAGCGGCCATTTTTGTAAAAGTCTTAGTTTTCTCTTGTATAACAATGGCAGACCATCTTTGCATTATATAAAAGGCAACATTTTCATATGCTGATTTAAAGAAAACAAAACAAACATCTTTTTACTGTAACATTTTTTCGTCACCTGTATTAAATATAAATGAATAAACAGAATATTGTGGTTCTCTCACATTATTAAACTTAAACATATTTATAAAATATTACCAAACATGAACCTCTTCAGTTGCTGAAAACTTAAAGAGGTTGCCAAGTGTTTACATTTCTAAACAGAACAGCATAAAGTGCATTTTTCATCCCACACCGGACTCTGGACTGTTCTGATTTGCCTGCCTTCTTTGTTTCTGTATCAACGGCTCCTTAACTATGACCAGTGGCGCCCTCTGCTGGATGGCGGCCAAACTACAACACTGAAATAAGATCTAAACGGATTAATTAATTGATTAGAACTAGTTTGAATCTAATAAATCAACAATTAATCATAAGTAGATTAGTTGTTAGCATCCTAACTTGTAGCTTCCTCCTCGTCAGTGCAGATCCTGCGTGTTAGCTGCTGTGGGCATCGACGCGGCACAGGCCCCGTCACACTTAATGTGGTACTGTCTGAGGTATTCCCTGAGCTGAGGCGGCAGCGGCAGCCCCTCCACGCCCTGGTAGGTGGTGCAGCTGCAGATCACCGCCCTGCACAGGTGCTGCAGAGGGAAAGGGAAGGTCCTGGGCAGTGGCCTGGAGAGCAGCGGCTCAAAGAAGAGGCAGGTGGCCGGGTCGCTGTAGTGCCTCAGCAGGCCCGTCACACTGGCATCCCGGTACATGCACGGGTCGCGCACGTCGAAGCTGAATCGCTTGCCGTTCTGCTCGATGCGCGCATGCAGGGAGCGGCTGTAGCGGCGGAAGCTGACGGAAAACAGGAACTCGTCCTGGGCGGAGTCCCGCAGGAGAAACGTCCCTTCCGGCTGGCCCTCCAGAAGCTCCTCAGCCTCGAAGCGGTTCAGCACGCCCCAGTAGCACGGGTTGTTGTTGATCTGGAGCAGATCGGGGACCAGGATGTAGTCAGTGTTGCCACAGGCGCCATCCGGTCTGCCGTGAAGGCAGGATGGGTCCCAGTCTTCCAGCGGCGCGGGCGAGCAGCAGATGTCCTCCCAGGAAAGCGGCGTCTGCGGCGGCGAAGTGGAAGACGACACGCGGGGCTTCAGCGGCGTCTCCATGTCCTTCAGCGAACCAGGATGAGCCACCTGGTTTTTAATAAGGTGCCAACATTTGGCCAGTTCTGACTTGGGAGAGAACGGACATTTGTCCTGCATGAGTTCTGAGACGTGGATCTTCCTTTTGGACCAGAACAGTACAGAGAAAGGGCGAGACGAGCCGGGCGGGTGGTGGTAATGGTGGTGGTGGTGATGGCGTAGAGGGAGACACTGACCCACGGCATCCTGAAACTTCTGCCTCAGAGACCGCCGGTGGAGCGCCTTCCGGCACACGGCGTCCACGTCTCCAGCCATCAGTGAGTCACCCAGAGCGCTGCAGCTGCACTTCCGCTCTCTGCGCCGCCGGGAACAGGAAGTGGACCGCATGCCGAGCTCTTCGGAACCGTCCGCCTCCGACCCGCCGGGACTGGATCCATTGCGGGAGCTCCGGGAACGCTTCTTCCCCCGCCAGATGTAGCTGTCGGCGCTCCAGCTGCGGAGGCCAGATTTGGGTCGAGTGTCCGCTCCCCGAGGCTTCTTCTCCGACATGGCCGCTGTCTGTTCTCTTCCTGTAAAACATCAGGAAGAGATGTCATATTTATTTTATATATATGTTAAAAGAAATAATAAAGCTGATAAATGTGGCCTTTGTTTTATGAAAGGCCACACTTATCAGGTTTTACAAAACAAATGTCACTAAGTTTGACTTTGCTTTCAGTTGATCTTAAAACATTTTTGCACATTTTTGTATTTAAATTTGCGTCTCAACTACTTCCAAAAACAGCACCGGTCCTTGCAAAAGCCGACTTAGCCTTTTTTTGGGGGGGGCAGTAAATTTATGTTTTTCAAAAACCTCAACAATTGGGCACTGCTGTTACCTAGTAACGCCAGGGAAGCCCAGCCCTGTTACCTAGCAACCCAAGTGGAGCTCCAGCCTGTTTGATCAGCTGGTTTTGCTGCTGTTCAATGGCTCCTAGAAAAGACAAGTGTTTTGTTGACTTGCCATCTAGAAACCTTTGGCTGCATTCTTGTTGATTGTGCAGGAGGCTCCACTTCTGCTTTTCAATGATGCACAGTTGTATAATTGTGCATTTGTTTGCAGTATAGCCATATCCTAAGTTGTTCAAAGAAGCATAGGTCACCTTTTAGTATTCAATGTATCCCACAGGCCAGCCATCATTAAAATAGGAGAGACAGGAAAACTTGCCCTTTAGTTCAAATTAATGTCAACGCTTCAAAAATCAGAACAAACTGCTACAAAAACTGCAACTTTTTAAAGATCCTAGCAGTTGATCATCCAAATTTCAACACATTTATGGCTAGGTTTCAACACTTAACCACACTACCAGTGGATTAGCAGAAGTGTACTACTGTATAGAAAAATCTTATGAAGCTTGCTCTTGTTTTAAGCTCATATTCGCTTATTTCATATAGAAAATCACAAAAGAATCAGAGCAGAAGCTGGACTCACTACCTCAGTTAAAGTTTATGATTCAACAATTAGACTGGACAATTGGCTTCCAATGGAATTTGGAAAACCAGACCTGAACCAAAAGTAACAAATTATTTCTCAAAAAAAGTATCTTATTAATCCCCAAGAGTTTTCTGAAAATATTCTAGTCTAACTTTTTTGAACGTTTGTGTACGTTTATCTCAGCATTTTAGAAAAGAATGCCCTACCAACAACCAGATATGATGCAGTATCAGGTTTGAGGTTTCCAGACCTGAATAAGACCATGAACTTTGTAATCTCTTGGATGCCTAATTTTTACTTTCGAGTAAAACTATGCTTTAGTAGTTTTACTTTTACTTGAGTATAATTTTGGGGTACTTTACTCACCTCAACTTAATATTTGGTTATTCACAGTCTTAATAAAATTTCCAAGCTGTAGAAAGATAAAAGTTGTTTAAACCTGTTTGTAAATGATTATTATAAGCAAAGGGAGGTTTAAATAAAAAAAGATGGTTTTCTTACCTCCTAAAAAGTATCAGCAGCAGAAGTAAACGTCCATGTTAGCCTGAGCCTTTCTGTCCTCTAACAGACGGCCGCCTGCTCTGCTTCCTATATTATAATAATGCCGAGTCCCCGGAGGGAGCAGCAGTTTCCTCTCCAGCAGTCTGAATGAATGGGCAGAGCGGGGCGGGGTGGGAGGACTGGTGTCAGGTTAATGGGAGCAGAGCATCCACCACTCAGTCCCACTTCCACTTTTACACACAAAAAACTGGAATTAAGATAAAAGAGAAGCAGAGCGGCCAGAAAGTGCTTCAAAGTGAATTATTTCTCCTTGTTTGAGTTGTTTCAACTTCATTAGAGCTTGAAACATCAAAGTGCATTTCTTGAGGAGCTTTAAATCTGTTTAAGCATGACTGTGGAGCAAAAACAGATTGATCCTGAAGATTAACCGCGGCTTCTTCGCTCGAATTAATGATTGAGCTCAGCACAGGAAACGACAAAGCTTCGATTATTGACCCAACGACCTTCCAGTCTTTCCTGGTTTAAACTTCCAGAAAGTGCAGCTGAACGAAGTCATCAGTCAACATGAGGTCATGCAGGCACTCCTTTGAGCTCTGAGGATTTTGTAGGATGTATAATTTATGATTCATATCAGACAAATATTATTACTCCCAGTGGTTTTTGGGGTGTTCTTGGATCTGCTTCAATGAACTCCTCCTGCTGGAGTCATCAATAAACTCCTATCATCAAACACGATATAGTGACACTCAGCTTCCTCTTAGCTGAATATTTAATGCTGTTCACATTAATACTCCGACCGACAGAATGATGGATGCCACTCGCTCTGGAAAAGAAGCAAATCAATTTATTCGACTGCAAACTCTTGGGATGCGCGTTGCAAAAAGTGAACTCCAAAATGTCGTGCTTAAAAGGATCATGTTAACTCCACCATTGGTTAATAAGGGAAAGACAAAAGGATGAGGATTAAACAGCAAAGTTTTTGGAAAAGTCCCGTAGTGCAAAAGTGGACTTCATTTAAAAAATATGTACACAAAGACAAAAGAACAAACATCAGAAGACATTTTACATTGTTTTACCAAACGAAATCAGATTTTTGTGTTGAAATAGTTTCTAAAGATAGCCAAGTTGAGCAAAAAAAAGAAAAATGCAGACAAACCTGTTCCCTTCCTTGCCTGTGGGGGCGCTGCACTAAGGAACATTGAAGGAAACGACACAAAAATCTCAGAAAAATACACTGAGTTTCTTCATGAAATGTAAAGAAATATGGAGCAGCATCAGATTTTAGCACCTGTAGGATTTCTGTTTTAACTTTGACAAAAGATGACAAACCATTTCTCCCACTAGCGCTACGCTAATGCGTTTGTTTTGGTTGTATTTACTCAGAATGCTCTGCGCTACAGTCCACTTCCTGCTTTTGGAGCAGTCCCGGTGTCCGCTTGGCGATCACGTGTGCATTCAAACCGAACCAGATTTCATTTCAACTGAACTGAGACCGAGGTTTGGAGGCGGACCAGAGCTAGCTTTTTTGTTCCACATCAATGTTTGATTACACATTCACACCTCCCCAAACGAAGCAGGCTTTGTACAGAGAAATGTTGTTTCCTTCAGTGATTATTTGTACACTGGGGAGGAGGGGAACAGTTTTTTTAAAGCGTTTGTTTCGTTTGAGAACCGCAAAAGCTGAAATGTAAAAAATTTTGCAATCTCCCAGACTATCAGATCACTGAATCAGGTGGTAACCTTTGACCTGTGTGATAGCCAAGAAAGTGGCAGTGATTTTCTCTCCTCTTGTTTGTTCTGCCTTGCATAAAGTGTGTCAAGAGGGTGTGGCGCAGCGTTTTGTTCAGGAAGTGCCTCCAACATTGGATTAAATTGTGATGGCCCCATTAACCTGCTGCAGACCATATCAGTTCAAAACACGCAGGCATTGATCCCTGAACAGTCTGCAGGAGCACCAATGAATAATTCATTCAGCTATGAATGAAAAGAGATGCTACTCTGCATGCACCTTTACATATAAAATAAAAACCAATCTGTCTTTGTGTCGCTACCCAACTAATTTAGTTAATTAGTTGCTTACAGGACAAAGAAGTATTCAGAGAGAACCACAAGCTCTGGCGACTGACAACTTGACAGTCAAGTTTATTTTTATGATGTAGCAGAGAAAAAAACTTTTCTTGACATCATAATTTTGAAACTATATAGGGTTTAATTATTATCTTCAATTATTTTGCCTCAGGCCCCACAATTGTCAAAATTTTTTAAATGTCTAAAAATTACAAAAACAAATTTCTTGTAGCAATTTTCAGTATTATCTGCTTAATAATAAAGTTAATAAACAATACCCTAGCAAAGCACATAAAATAGTCGGGCTGGATGAAGTGGAACCGCAAACTGCTGCTGCACAAGTTACTCAACAGGTTGTTGCTAGGTAACCAAGGAGTGAGTGAGTTGCTAGGTAACCGTAGAGTGAGTGAGTTTTCTTTTTTTAAAATTTGATTTCAGACAAATAACAGTACGTAGACTGAGTTAACTGATTCCACTAGCAGTTTGTTGAAAAGTTGTTTAAGACTTTATTTATGACTTTGTATTGATGTAAAGCACTTTGAACTGTCTTGTAGTTTCACACTGGATTTTCTTTTTCTTGTGAATAAATTTACCCAAATTTGGAAAATCAATTTTCTTTTCAAAATAAATTATGCTGTTGCAATAAGAACATAATTAATTTTAGGAGTTTTTATTTTCACATCATTTTGTGTTTCTGTCTGCGCTCTAAAATGCATTCGACCTTGAAGTATCATAACATGTGCGTTTGCATGCATACTGTCAAAGCAGAGCATCATGTGAATGATAGAGACAGTAAATTGAATCAGCAGTGAGTCTGTGTGGCTCCACTGATCTCCGCTGTTTCCATTGATCTCTATCAGAAGACTCAACTGAACAGCAGTAACTGCATCGCTCCTTTATCATCGCTAACATGGTGGATTTGCAGCTGCTGTCGCCCCCAAACACAATTAAACTGCAAAAGATGATCACCTAACCTCATCCAAACAAATCCAAACTGGTTCATGTGAGTGAGCAGGATCTCTCATTGTTCCCTAATTTTGCTTAAAGTTTTAATTCCCTCTATTTGCTGAAGATAATTTATTAAATATACGCTTTCCCCACAGTAAAATTAAAGTACTTTTCAACATTTTCAAGGCAAGTTTTCAAACTCTTCCAGCATTACATTTTGGAGATAAAATAAAACAAATAGTGAAAAAAAAATAAAAAAAAATTCACTTATAACATTTATTACCGTTACCAATAGTCGTAATAGTATTCTACAGCAAGGACAAAGTAAAATAAAACAAAATTTCATCTTTTGAAATGTCTGTCTCATATATCTAACACACCTGACTGGATTGAATAAAACACACTAATTTAACAACAACAAAAATCCCCCAATTTCAATAACTTTGTTTAAAGTATTTCAGTGACACACATCAATAAGTCAGTTGAGAAATTAGAAATAATAAATATTCATTACATCCAAACAAATCTTGAAAAAGATTATATTGAAAAAGTTCTGGTTTTATTGGCAAATTATTTAACTTATAACATGGGAAAATGTATTTTTATAAGTGAAATAGTCTGCTAGGGGAATTTGTACTTTTTCCATCAATATTAATAAACTGCTTACTTAAAACAAGCTCCTATATCTTGCCAAAAAGTTACTTGTAAGTTTCTTTTTCTTATTTCAAGTGTACTAAGATATTTGTTCTAGAATTTAAACCAAATGTAAGATTTCTGTTCTTGCTGTGCACTGCTCTGTTACCTAGCAACCCAAGCAGAGTTCTGCCCATTACCTAGCAACCAAAGCCAAGCTCAGGTTAGGTCAGCTGGTTTTACCACGTTATGGACTAGAAACTACTAGACCAAAGATATTGGTAAGACTTTGTATTTTTGCAGTGTAGCTCACCATGTTCACAGTTGAGCCCATTCTTCATGATTTCAGTGTCTGAGTTACTTCACTGAGGAAAATTGTTGACATCCATCGCTCTAAAACAGCAAAATAAATACAGCATTTATGTCTATGATGAGTAGACTTAAACTTCTGACCAGAGCCATAACCATTTCCTTTTTCAGGATGTAAATGCAGAGGCTGATAATCTTCTAAACGGGTTTCCTATGTAAACACAGGAAATGGGTAAAAAGCCTTACGGGCCAGTTTTGCAAACCACAACTGGATAAAACCTGATATCTTATGCTGCCTTATCTCTGTCCTCCATTACTTCTTTACAGCTGCAGTTAGATGATCACTGTTTCACTTATAAAAAGATATTTTCCCATTTGCTATAAGTAAAATAATCATTAATATTAAGGAACTATTTACCTAAAACAAGGTCCTATATCTCACTGAAAAGTTACTTGTCAGTTAGTGTTGACTTATTTCAAGTGTACTAAGCTATTTGAACTAGAAACTAGACTAAAAATACTTTTTGTTCTCTGGCGTAATTTACAAATAAAGTAACAAAACCAAAATCTAAAAAAAATATGCTCATTAAGTTTTCTGGTATTTATCAAATAGAAATTAGTTTTGTAATTATAACTTATCTAAAATTAGAAAATGTACTGTGATTTAACTTCAGACAGTAAGAAATAAAAGTCTCTTCGTTAGGTGTACACGGTTAAATCAGTAAATATTACCACGTTTTTTCTTGTCTAGTTTATTTTGCAAATATAATTATATGTTGCTTATCAGCAAGATATAGGAGCTTGTTTTAAGTCAATAATTCTATAATATTGATGAAAAAGTTCTAGTTTCAGTGGCAGATTATTTAACTTATAACATGGGAAAAATGTCTTGTTATAAGTGAAATAATCTACTAATGGAATTAGTACTTTTCCCAATCAATATAAAAAAATTATTGATTTAAAACAAACTCCTATATTTTGCAGAAGTTATATGTAAGTTAGTTTTGACTTATTTGAAATGTACTAAAATATTTTCTCTAAATTTTGGCTGTGAGTTTCAATGAAGTGAGAGTTCCTGCAGCACTGTTGTCATATTTCTATTTCTGCTAGATATGTTTGTCTGTTAGATATGTTTGTGTATCAATGCTTTGAAGCCATTAGGATGCAGACTGGCCTGGATATTCATCTGCTGCCGACATGCGAGCTGCCATATCGACTTTCCTCTGGGGAGATTTATTTATGCCTGCAGCCGCCCGGCTTCCCGCAACTAAGGCACATTGGCCGAGGTTTCTGTGCTGCTCCTTATTAGAGAGAGCGTAACCCAAGCCCCGCGGCTCAGAGCACACTGGGTTTCAGTGTACCCAATATACCTAAGCAAGTACACTGGATATGCATGCATTTCCCTTGAGATGCACTTAAATGGGAAAATGCCCCCCCAAAAAAAAGTATTTTACATTAACCTGGGTAAGTTAGGCAGATGAAAAAGGGATTGAATTTCTGCTAAAAATCTCAAATTTTGAGATTAATATCAGAAATTTTCTTGAAACAGGGAAATCTTTGAGTTTCAAGAGTCAAAAATTTTCAAGAAAAAAAATCTAAGTTTGAGATCTCAGAAATATTTTAGAAAAAAATGTAGAAATCTGAGTTTCAAAAGTGAAGAAATTATGAGGAATTTTTTATTTTTAGATTAATCTCAGAATGTTTTTTACGAATAACTTGGAAATCAGTTTAAAAAGTCAAACATTTTCTAGAGGAAAAAGTAAATTTTTAGATTAATCTCAGAAATTTCTGATATTTTTGTGGAAATCTACTCTTTTTTTCTTCCAAGTTTCATTACATGCATGTAAATGTAAGTATAACGGATAAAATAACTAAAATTAAATAAAAAATATTAATGTCAAACTTACAAAAAAAATCGTATATGAGATCAAATTCAAATCCAATCAATTTTTATTTGAATAACCCATTTCAGCAGCAAAGTGCCTTACACATTAAACACAAAAATACAGAATAAACAATCAAAAACAT